TTGAAAGTTATTGAACCATCATAGTACCCTTACTAGAAGGATATACTACTAAGATTTCGTCAGGATAGCTAGGTTGTGCAAGATATGTTTCATGCACACAATGGACGAGATTGGGGCTTCCCAAACCAAGTTATCCCCAATGACTAATCCCTAAGTTTTTACACAAGGGGGTCTTCCCTAACTGTATATTTTGCATCACACCCACCACAGAACACATATGCACATGATGCATGACGTTCAAGACTCTATCCACTTTCAACGAGATATCACTTATCAATCTACAATTCTCAACACTTTACGATTTATCACTTATCACATTCGCTTAGCATAAATCCTTTATCCCTTATCACATTATGAGTATCACTTATTTACACAATTCACACACGCACACACACACGAAATTCAGGTTTTAAGACAGGGTCACGTTGGTAAGACACACCCTACGCCTGGTGCGTGCAAGGGCCGTGAGCCTTTGGAAATATCACACTTGTGTAATTCTTTGTATGCCCGGTGAGATGCATCCAAAGGGTCTCTAAAGCTCTTGCATCCTGTGTGACCAAGCTCACACCCAACATTAACATTGTTGCAAGCATTTTGTACTTCTGCACCCCGTGTGACTAAGCCCACACTCGACGTGGTCAAGATCGTAAGCAATTCATGGTTCCTACACCTAACGAGCATAAGTTGTCGCCTAACGCAGTATTAGTAACAACATTTACTGCATAATTTGCAAATTAATGCAAATATGGGTTCTATAATTTTTACAATTTTAATTTGTTAAAAGGGTATTTATAGTCTAAATAATTCAACTAACAAATGTTTATTTAGTGGTTCTAGACTTTCACTACAAGAAAAATGTAAATTTTCGACGGATATAGCCTGTCGGAAAGAAAGAAAATTTGTCGAAAATTCTCTATTTCCAACGGATATATCCGTCGGAAATTACCAACGAAAAAATCCGTCGAAATTTTTTTTTTTTAATTTTAATAAATTTATTAATGTAACAACCCTCATATTTGGCCTCTCAAGGATTTTATTTCACGATACTTCACTTTTCAGCGTGTTTTGCCCTTATTGCACAATTTATGGGAAACTTCCCAAAAGGTCACCCTCATCCCTATATTACTTCAAGTCAAGCACGCTTAACTGTGGAGTTCTGATGAGATAAGCTACAGAAAGGCATATGCATGTTGTCAGTATAGGTAGTACAAATTAATTCATTTAAGTCATCCTCAACTATACAATCTTATATTTATACTATCTTTGGATCCCTCTCATTTCGATGTATCCGGACCGTTATAAAAATATAATAATATATATAATAATTATATTACCAATAATAATAATTATATTATATTTAATTAATCTTTATTTATATATATAC